ATGTGTTGGAAACAAAACATTTGATGGCATCTAACAACCTATATTTCTGCAGTACTCCATAGTCGCATCCAGCGTCACAGCACCATCTCGTTCGGTACTGCTCTCGTGTGTTCCATTCTCTTCGTCCACTTCCATCTTGATATCTTGAGTGGCTATCATTTCGTGAACCTTAAAGCTTTCGTTATTCCATAGATATGGTGTGTTTCCTATACAGAAAAATCCCCTGAGTCCTCTCACAATGCATATTTTGGGTGCATTTGGCGGGCTCACTTACAATGCAGATTTGAATGTTGTAGGAAATATGCTTAGAAGCAATGCAGTGTGACGTATATACCCCCCCCCTCCCCACCAAGGAGGGTCGCGAAACTCTTGAGAGTTGCTTACATGCTTTACAAAACTGCGTGTAGTGAATAATTGAATTAATTTTTATAAATTTTTCGAAATTCACATTAGCCATGTAAAATTCTTTCGGGGCCTGACGCCATCAATATACCAGTAAGCTTTAGACTTGAAATATTGGGACAAAACAGAGAGCTGACTAGATATCTAACAATGAGGTAGGTAACATGTTCAGAACAAAGCAAGTCGAGATAATTTGACTGAGAAGTAAATCGATTTTTCAAATTCGACTAAGAATTGAGTCGGTTTTAGCAGTATATAAGCAGCGATGACAATGATCTCCAGCTTCAGTACGACTGTAAATCGTATGCCACGAAAAAAGTTACCTTTTGTGCAACATCGACGTCATCTTTTTTCACGTCTACTTGTCTCAAGCGCCGTGCTTTTTCAAGAACAATTTGTAGTTCTGCCTCCGCATCGTCTTCAATCACCACTCCAGCAAGCTCCGAAGTTCCGTCAAACTCTTCTGTAAAGAATATTACATTATAGTTTACAACATTCCTTATAAGGCCTCGGAGTATTACGAAAAGGCTCCAAATCTATGAATTATGGGTTTTACAAAACTATATAGTTAAAAAGTATTTGCCAGTCTACAAAGGGTGGCATAACTAAGTTAAGAAGTACTCAGTCTACAAATTGTCATGCATATGATCAGTTACTCATAAAGGATCAATAAAAACTGGGTCCATGTGAGATGTACGTTGAAAAAGGAAAAGATTCAAGGCAGCGTCCGGGCAAGAACTCAGTTTTGAGATTTTGTGCTTACCC